TTAAAGATGATCTCAGGGTGATAGTTTCAGGGGTTCATCTAGCCTCCATGACTCCAGAAAGTTGGGATCCATGAGAATTTACAGTTCTGTTCTGTATTTTCCCCCTTTTAATCAGGATTCTGCTATAGATCTTTCAATATTCAGTAATGGTAGCCTCTTTGCCCCATTTTTAAATTGGGTTATTGGTCTTTTTGTTGTTAAATTCTAAGAGTTCTTTATATATTCTAGATATTAAACCCTTATCCAGTATATGGTTCCCACATTTTCTCCCAGTCTGTAGGTTGTCTCTTCACTTTGTTGATCAAGTCCTTTGACGCATAAAAGTTTTTAATTTTGATGAAATCCAATTTATCTGTTTTGCCTTTTGTTGTGCTTTCGATATCATAGCTAAAAATCCATTACCTAAAAGAAGGTCCTGAAGATTTACCCCTATATTTTCTTCTAAGAGTTTTATGGTTTTAGCTCTTATATTTGGGTCACTGATCCATTTTGAATTAATTTTTTTTATATGGTGTGAAGTATGGTCCAAATTCATTCTTTTCCATGTAGAAATCCAGTTGTCCCAGCATCATTTGTTAAACAGACTATTCTTTTCCCCATTGAATGGATTTAGCACCCTTATAAAAAAAATTAATTGGCCATAGATATATGAGTTTATTTCTGGAGTCTCAATTCTGTTTCATTGGTTTATATGACCATCCTTACGCCAGTACTACACTGCTTTGATTACTGTAGCTTTGTAATATGTTTTGAAATCAGGCAATGTGAGTCCTCCTACTTTGTTCTTTTTTCAAAATTGTTATGGCTATTCGGGCCCCTTGCAATTAATTCCATATGAATTTGAGGATCCTCTTTTCCATTTCTGCAATACAGACGGTTGGAATTGTAATAAGAATTGTGTTACATCTGTAAATCACTTTGTGTAGAATTAATATCTTAACAACATTAAGTCCTCCAATCCATGAACATAAGATGTCTTTCCATTTATTTGTTTAGTTCTCCTTTAACTTCTTTCAGCAGCGTTTTATATTTTTCAGTGTAAAGGTCTTTCACCTCCTTGGTTAAATTTATTCTTAGATATATTATCTTTTAGATGCTATAATATAAAAGGAATGTTTTCTTAATTTCCTTTTCAGATTGTTTGTTGCTGGGTGTCTAGAAACACATCTGATTTCCGTGTATTGATCTTGTACTCTGCCACTTTGCTGAGTTATTTATTAGCTCTGGTAGCTTTCTTTTCAATTCTTTGGTATTTTCTATACATAGTATCATGTCATCTGTGATATAAGTAATTTTGACCTGTGTCTAGGGGGAATGTGTTAGAAGAACGAGTTAGGAGTGGCAGTAAGAGAACAAGACGGTGCAGGAGATGAGATGGTGTTATAGGTCTTATAGGGACCAGATTACAAAGGACCATTCTAAGAAGTTTTGATTTTACCAGTTAATGCAAAATGGACCAAAGTAGTGTTAGACCAAACATGGGGAGACCATATAAGAGGGTAACTGGAGTAATTTATCATGTTACAATTGTTAAAGACCTAAGCTAAATTAGTGGCAAGGAGAATGAAGGGGATGGATTCAAGTGATCTTTTGGAATAGCGTTCTCAGACGTTGGTGATTAATTGAGTGTGAGGCTGGACGGAGAAGGAAGAGTTTAGGATGATTCTCAGGTTATGCAATTGGTTATTGTTCATCAACAAACTGAATACAAGAGAAGGAAGCAGATTTGGAGGAAATATGATCATTGGCCTGTTTGATAGGATTAGAATGGCAAAATCTTCCATGTTTTGAGAAGAAATTGTTTCTGCAGTTTGCTTCTCAGTTTATTCATAGAGCTCACCAAAATATCAGCTTTTTAGGAGAGTTGTACTTTGGTAATCATTAAGTCAGCACGGGGAGGGGAGAATGGAGAGTTATTGCTGAAGAGGCACTGAGTTTCTGTGTGTGGTGATGAAAAACTTCTGGAAATGGATAGTGGTGATAGTCGTACAACATGGTGAATGTAATTATGTCACTGAATTGTACACTTAAAAACGGTTAAAATGGCACATTTTTTGCTTTGTATGTTTTACCACAATAAAATTTTAATGAAAAGAAGTCAGCTGCCCTCTGCTGCCCACTGTCTATTTTATGTATCATTTTAAGGGTGTGATGTCTCCTGACTTTGATAATGAGCTCTTGAAGCTTAGAGAGTGTACCTTCTCTTTATTGTATAATTTCCTACTGTCTTGTTCTGTATTAATTCCCCAAAACCTGGCACTCTGCGTTATTGAGAGATCAGTATTCTGGTACATCTAATACCCTGTGTGATCATGGCAGGGACAGATGGGCAATCCAGTACTGTAGCCAGCAAATAAGTAAGACCTACCATCTGTTGGTATAGTCATTCGCTCAAGTCCTTACTTTCTCTCTTTATTTCATCCATAAAATAATAAAAGAGAGGGAACCAGTGTCCTACTGAATCAAGCTTACTGATTTATTTGAATTGTAGGTAAGGTAACCAGGATACCTTGTGATAGAGAGAGAATGTACGAAAATTTATCGTAAGTATGTAAATTTAGAGAGCGATCAGAGAAAAGAAAACTTAGTAAGCTGAACAGGCAGGCCCCCGACAACATGGGAGTGCAGTGGGTATGTAGAAAAAGAGACATTGGTGTTCCTGAGAAAAGGAGCTTAGTAGGCTCTAGGTTCAAAGAGGATTTACGATAATGAGCATCATAAAAGTTTCCATATCCTTTGACCCTGACTTCCACATCTGGGACTCTAGCTTAAGGAACCACTTGCAGATATAGGGGAAAAAAACAGTATTCATCAAACTCTTTGTTCTAACATTATTATTATGAAGAATTGGAAACAACCAAAATATCTAATAAGTGAAGAATGGTTAAATAAATGATGGGATTGTCACTTAATGGAATATTATGCATACATTAAAAGTGATGATTATGAAAACTAGTTTTATAATCAGGGAAAGGGCACTTGGAATTAATGGAATTTAGAAAGTGATCTAAGTGGCATTATTTGAACCTTCTCTTCAGTTACTAAAGGAGGCTTACCAAGTGACATTCGTCTGTTCTGCACAAAAATAAACTCCAACTGAATTAAAATTTAAAAAAGAAATAAAAGAGCGGGAGAAAAAATACAGAACAAAATTCAAATTCACAAAAAAAAGACCAGAGTTACTGGTCTGACAGAGACTGGAGGAACCCCGGGGACTATGGCCCCTGGACACCCTTCTAACTCAGAATCGAAGCCACTCCCAAAGTCTACTCTTCAGCCAAAGATTAGACAGACCTATACAACAAACAATAACACACGTGAAGGACATGCTTCTTAGTTCAATCAAGTATACGAGACCAAATGGGCTACACCTGCCCAAAAGCAATGATAAGAAGGCTGGAAGGGACAGGAACCGGATGAATGGACACGGGGAACCGAGGGTGGAAAGGGAGAGAGTGCTGACACATTGTGGGGATTGCAATCAATGTCACAAAACAATTGGTGTATAAAGTTTTGAATGAGAAACTAATTTACCCTGTAAACTTCACCTAAAACATGGTAAAATTAAAAAAAAAAAATGTTGAGCCAGAAAATATTCATGGGAAAATGTCCATGATATTGTTAAGTAAAAGGGACAGGTTTCAAAACCATATTTATAATAGCAGTATAATTTTTAAAGATATGTGTACATGAAAAGACTAGAAGGACATGCATTAAAATGTTGACAATGTGTTTTTGTTTTGTGCTTTGAGAGCAAGATTTTAGTTTTGAGTTTTCCAATTTTCCTGCATTAAATTTTGTAAGTAATTTAAAATAATAATTAATAAAAGAAGGAAGAAATTTCCTCCAGAAGGATAACTTTTGGATCCCAGTTCCTGGACTGTGAGAAATAAATGCTCAATATGTAAACTGTATTAATGATGCCTAGTGCTTAGCCTAACTTACAGAATCTCTCCTTAAGAGATAATATAACTCATGAGTAGTTATTTATCTTACAGAAAGATTCTTGGCTACAAAAAAACAAAAATTACAGTGCAGCCCTTACAATAGCAAATTTCCCTTGAGTGTGCAGTGTTATACACATGCACGCACATTTTAGGAGTACATGATTGCAAGGCAACTCTCGCTTCTTCAGATGTCCTTCACATTTCTGTGTTCCAGATGTACTTTCAGCCTGAAATTTCTATTTCAATATAATGTTTATGTATCTTTTTGTCACTCTTTTTCTGACTAATGTAATGGACAGACTGATGAAATAGAAGAAATGGAGGGCACGATGCTCCCACATCAATAAGGCACTTGATTGCCCTAGCTTTGATTACCAACACTCATATAACTTGAGAATATTGCAATGAAACTCATTGGTTGGGGGGCGGGGGGAGCATCCTGTATTACTTAGCATAGGCATTTGGAACCTTGCAATAACAATTCAGAGGAAGGTCTAGGAGTTTGAACAAGAACTCCCAAATCTGGCATCCAGCCCTTGAGGGTGGATCAGCTGCTGACTCCTTCACTGTCGCTCTGCATTCCTGTGCACTTTGCTGGGCTCTCTAATCCTTTCCCATGGTGAAGACTTCAGGAAGCTAATTTCAACTTTTTAACCTCGTGTTTCCCATTCTCTTTAGATTGGTTTTGTAGGTTTTGTGCTCCTTATGAGAAACTGCCTCATTAAAAAAACCAGGGCTTTGGACCAGTTATTTCCGGTTCAACCGCCTGCTGAGAATTTGCATTTCTACCCCAGATATACTGAATCAGAATTGGGGTGGAAATGCAGATTATCGGCAGGGAGGTCAAACCAGAAATAACAGGTTCGAAGCCCTGCAAAAAACTGACTCGCGTTTTTGCTTTTTATTATGTTAGAAATTGAGAATTGAACTGTTGATATTTATATTGCTTTTACCTTATAGAACATTCAGCTTGGAGGTTTACGCTTTAATACAGAGTGAACATCATGATCTCTTGGTGCTCAAGTGTGTATTTATTATTGTGTCTATGAACAGGTTCCTGGTATAAATTTACCTGTCAACCAACTGACCTATTTCTTCGCTGCAGTCCTCATTAGTGGTGTTGTACATGAAATTGGACATGGGATAGCAGCTATTAGGTAATAGTTACCTTTTTCTTCCTACTACATGCAAAGAAACTTTTAGTTTAGGAGAGTTTATTGCTGAAATCTGGTACATTTGGTGTCTCAGTATTTTTTCTTTCTGGGATATTGCTCAGTGCATATCCACCATTATTACTTTGAGATAGTTTATCTTTTATAAAAAAGATTAATCTATTGATGAATATGCCCAGTAACGGTGTGCATATCTGTAATCTGGGACTTTCTATCATTTGCCTTTTGCCAGCATGGTTATAACCTCATGGTGCTTCCTGATTTTTTATCCAATCCTGAAATCTAATCTTGTGATTCATCATTGGATCAGAATGATAGCCATTGCACTCAAAGCCCACCCACCTGCCTTAATACTTTCTTGAAATGCTTTTCTGCTTCTGTTCATTTCCTCTCCTGGCTACAGCAAGACCGCTGAAAGCACTGATTTGTTAACAAATATCATGGCTGATCTAGAAACTCAAGTGGAAGAGGAGGAGGAAACCTGGGACTTGCTTCAAGTATCATGCCTTGTTCTTGGCATTGAGTACCTCAGATTTATCAATGTAATTATATCTGAGCATTTAAAACCCTGATAAACTTCTAAACTAGTCATGAAAGAGGATGAATCCCAACTCCCCTGGCCTCCAGTGATAATTACTGCCATGATGAACAAGCGTAATGATAGGAGTATGTTCTATGCTATCCTTTGGGTGTGTGGACCAGTTAAAAGGTTAAGAACAGCTGTTTTAGAGGAGAAGATTTAATCACTTCTTATTACTTTCCAGTTGCTTATGAACAGGAGTCTATTGACTGGCAATAATTCCTCATCTTCTTGACAGCATATACTGCTACACAGGTGTGCGCAGTAGTGGTTTAAGTGGGCGTCTTTCTCTCTTTTTTTATCCCTTTCACCTTTGCTTCAAATTTTTAGCTTTGCAGGCTTTAGGGTTTTACATATAGAAGCGTCATTATCAACAGTTTCGTCATTCACAATATGTTTGTCAAATAATTTAGGTAATTTTTGATGAAATCTCAACTGCCGAGAATAAGTTATTTATAATTATGTATTCAATATGAAGTGACAGCACAGTATATTTGGGTGATGCTTTTTTTGAGTAGTTATTTGGTCTTATGAAACTATTAACTGTAACATGCATTTTTAGAGGATGAATCGATACAAAACTATTAATGAAGGAAAATACCTTTAATGATTCTCTTAAGGATAGTCTAAGCATTACGCATTTTTAAATGCACTTATTTTAATGTTAGCTCAACAGGAATATACTTAGATAAATCTCTGCCTTTATTTATAATAGCTAAGGCAAATGTAAGTTTTTAGATAATTTTCTTGGATTATATATTCTACTGTGTCCCTCTCTGGAAATAATTCAGAGTAAGCCATCAAAATATTTTTCATTTAGTTTTTCACAGAAATAATTACCACCTCTTTATATATGTGATTGATTTCAAGTTTATTTGCTCAGCATATTGGCTTCTAAAACTTTTGAAGTTGTGGGTCTATTTAGAATGCCCTGTTTTACAGAATTCAGTTTCACAGATAAGCAAATCTGTACACTATTATAAAATTATGATTATGTATAGGTATAATTTTGGGGGGCTATCCAGAAAGACTTTTTGTTTTTTAAGCAAGAAATTGAATTATAGTAAACAGTGTTACGATTATATACATTATTAATTTGATAAATGTGATAGCATTAGTAAGTTCATTTTTCTTATGTGATTTCTTAGGGAACAAGTTCGATTTAATGGCTTTGGGATTTTTCTCTTCATTATTTATCCTGGAGCATTTGTTGATCTGTTCACCACTCATTTGCAACTTATATCACCAGTCCAGCAGCTGAGGATATTTTGTGCAGGTAACAGACTTAACTTTTTTTTTTTAATTTTTATCTGTATATTATTAATGGTTTTGTGGAAAGAAAACAGCTTATCTGTTCGGTGATAAATTCATTCTGTAAGAGAAGTAGAGTAAGATAATTTACATTCCATTTTCTTCTCTAAGACCTACTGAAAACAACATCAATTATAAAAAAAGAGAGAAAGAGAAAGAACTTCATTTTTATTGAAGCTAGGAAATGGCCACAACCTGAAACCACAAACTATAAAGAATATCAGCTTAGCTGAAATATAGTGAAATCTGTATTAGATCAAGGAGAATACAAGGAGGCAACCAAGAGATGGATTGAAAGAATTCAGGAATGGAGAAGAGATGGTATGCAAGAATGGGTGGTGAGCTCTAGCATAGTCAGAGTTTGATCGGAGAAACAGAACCACAAGGAGATATATAACTATGTAGGGAAGAAATGCCAGGAAACACAGTTTCATCTGAGTTAAATTGACATAAGACAACACCACAGCTCTGCATCTATTTAGATGGAACCTCTGAGGCTAAGCAAATTTAGAATTAGAATTCTTGAACAGACTGTGAGTATAATAGAACTAACAAAAAAATTGAGGGAGAAAAAGTAAAAAGTTATCAGGAAGTCTAAATATTAATTTCCTCAGCTTTATAGTGGAGAGATAGATTTCTGATTGGAGTTGGCAAATCAAAAAATACAGATTTGAGTACATCATTTAAAATTATAAATGTAAATACTACAAGATCTAAAAACACATGATAAACCTTTCAAGCTATCAGAGTGAAAGCATGATACACACAGACCAAAGAAAACAGACTGTATATCAAAAAATAAACTAACTAACTTAAGACCAAAACACGTTTATTTTGTCAGTGTAAATGGGTTAAGCTCACCTATTAAAAGAAAAATACTGACTCTTAGCTTGGATTAAAAGCATATCCCAAATTTGTGATGTATAAAAGAAATCTATCAATTAAAAAATGGGCAAAGGATATGAACAGGCACTTCACCAAAGAAGACGTTCAGGTGGCTAACAGACACATGAGGAAATGATCACGATCATTAGCCATTAGAGAAATGCAAATCAAAACTACAATAAGATACCATCTCACCCCAACAAGGCTAGCACTAATCAAAAAAACACGAAATAATAAATGTCGGAGAGGTTGTGGAGAGACTGGAACACTTATACACTGCTGGTGGGAATGTAAAATGGTACAGCCACTTTGGAAATCAATTTGGTGCTTCCTTAAAAAGCTAGAAATAGAAGTACCATATGACCCAGCAATCCCACTCCTTAGAATATATCCTAGAGAAATAAGAGCCGTCACACAAATAGATATACGCACACCCGTGTTCATTGCAGCACTGTTCACAGTAGTAAAAAGATGGAAACAACCTAGGTGCCCATCAATGGACAAATGGATAAATAAATTATGCTATATTCACACAGTGGAATACTATGCAACAATAAAGAACAACGATGAATCCCCGAAACATCTCATAACATGGATGAATCTGGAAGGCATTATGCTGAGTGAAATTAGTCAGTCGCAAAAGGACAAATATTGTATGAGACCACTATTATAAGAACTCAAGAAAAGGTTTAAACATAGAAGAAAACATTCTTTGATGGTTACGAGGGTGGGGAGGGAGGGAGAGGGGTATTCACTAACTAGATAGTAGACAACAATTATCTTAGGTGAAGGGAAGGACAACACACAATACAGGGGAAGTCAGCACAACCAGATAGTAGATAAGAATTATCTTAGGTGAAGGGAAGGACAACACACAATACAGGGGAAGTCAGCACAACTGGACTGAACCAAAAGCTAAGAAGTTTCCTGAATACAACCAAACACTTTGACGGACAGAGGGGCAGGGGTCTGGGGACCATGGTTTCAGGGGACATTTAGGTCAATTGGCATAACAAAGTTTCTTAAGAAAGTGTTCTGCATCCCATTTTGGTGAGTGGCGTCTGGGGTCTTAAAAGCTAGTGAGCAGCTATCTAAGATGCATCGATTGGTCCCAACCCACCTGAAGCAAAGGAGAATGAAGAACACCTAAGACACAAGGAAAATATTAGCCCAAGAGACAGAAAGGGCCACATAAACCAGAAACTTCATCAGCCTGAGACCAGAAGAACTAGATGGTACACAGCTACCACCAATGACTGCCCTGACAGGAAACACAACAGAGTCCCTGATGGAGCAGGAGGAAAGCGGGGTGCAGAACTCAAATTCTGGTAAAAAGACCAGACTTAATGGTCTGACTGAGAGTGGAGGGACCCCGGAAGACATGGACCCCGGACTGTTAGCCCAGAACTGAAAGCATTCCTGAAGCCAACACTTCAGACAAAGATTAGACTGGACTGTGGGACATAAAATGATACTCATGAAGGGTGTGCTTCTTAGCTGAAGTAGATAAGATACATGAGACTAAATGGGCAGCTTCTGTCTGGAGGTGAGAGGAGAAGGCAGAGAGGGTCAGGAGCTGGTTGAATGGACACAGGAAATCGGGTGGAAAGGAGGAGTGTACTGTCACAGTATAGGGAGAGCAACTGGGGTCACATAACAATGTGTGTATAAATTTTGTATGAGAAACTAACTTGAACTGTAAACTTTCACTGAAAAGCATGATAAAAAAAAACTATCTAAAAAATTACTTAAAATATTGAAAATAAAATGATGAGCAGAACATACCAAGCTAATGTGAACAGAAAATAAGACTAAAAGCATTAAATTAGACATGGGGGGGGCGCACTTAATAATAATGAGTATAATCCACAATGGAAATAAAATATTATAAATCTTACTTTATCAAGTAACAGATCATCAAAACTTACAAAGCAAAAATGGAAAAAGTAAAAGGAGAAACAAATACAATAAAGGACAGTCATCTCTCTCAACACATAGCAAGTAAGTGTTAAAAAGTCAGGCTATAGAAGGTCTAATTAGTAAGGTAAAAATCAATTAAAATAAATAAAACAAACACACTGCCATTGAGTCAGTTCTGACTCAGTACAGATATGTCAAATTCTATACCCTGAACACAGAAGACAGCTTCTTTTCAAATGCTCATGGAATTTACAAAAATTGACCATGTATTAGTCCACAAAGAAAGCCCCAATAAATTCCCAAGAGTAAGAGTTGGAACCCATGTACAAACTACCAGAAAATTTAGAAATTTATCTTAATCAGACTTTGGATCAATTTAATTCAAAACCATGATTGTAGGATATCTAAAAATAATGCTAATGAAAGCACTTTATTGGGGAAATATCTGAAGTTATGCTGAAAGAAAAATTCACTGCTTTAGGCAGTTGTTATCAACTAAGAAATGAAAATAAATGAATTAAGTATTCAATTTAAGTGAGAAAAGGACTATAAAATGCTTAAGGAATAATGAAGTAAAGATGTAGGCATAAGTAATAAATTAGAAAGATGGAAAATAGAGCTGTTAAATCTAAGAGTTAGTTCTTTGAAAAAAATTAGTTGGAAATGGGAAAAAAGCATCTGTAGACAGAAATAGCAGTCAGATTGGAGAATGACAGCTGTCACAGAGAAAATTAAAACAATTGTAAAAGAATACTTCGTTCATCTCTGAAAGAAAAATTCAAAAACCTGGATAAGTATAAGAAACATAAATAGCCCAAATTAACCAGGAGATAGAAAAAATCTAGGCTAATTATAATGGGAGAAATTAAGAAAGTTGGTAAAGAATACCCCTGAGAATTTCATAGGTGGACTTTCAGATGTTGAAGGAAAAGATGTAATTACAATTTTGTGTAAACTTTCCAGATCACATAGAAAAGGAAACTAAGATTTTTTTAAAGCCAATATAGCATTGATATAACATCTGACAAAGCAGAAGAAAGAAACCTACAAAACACATGGTATAGTTCAAAAATACAAGGATGGTTCAACATTAGGAAATCTATTTGAATGTGATAAATATTGTTTACCATTAGGGGAAAAATTCATGTCAGCATACATTAAGGCGTTATTTAATAAAATTCAATATTTATTATTATTTTTTAAATCCTTAGTAAAAGGAGGAATAACTGGATACTTCCTGATGGTAGAACACTTAGAAGCATGCTATTAAAGGAAAGGTCAAGATAAGCAAGCCCACTATAAACTATCACTGATACTATTAAATGTTGGTCTGTAAGTATGGGTCAATTCAATTAAATAAGAGGGAAAAAAAGTATAAATATTAGAAAAGAGTGAGCATTTTTGTTTGCAGATATGTCTGGAGAGGCGGAGAAATCAAAAAATCTGAAATGAAATAAATATTTAGTAAAGAGCCTGGTTACTGAGTTAATACTCAAAAAAAACAATAGCTGGCGGGGG